CTCCTCCTCCTCCTCGTCCTCCTCCTCCTCCTCTTTCTCCTCATCCTCATCCTCCTTCTTGTCCTCGTCCTCGTCGTCGTCGTCGTCCTCCTTCTCCTCCTCCTCCTCCTCCTCCTCCTCCTCCTCCTCCTCCTCTTCCTCCTAATGAAATCCCCGAGATCCTGGCGACTCAAACTCTGTCGGGCCGGGCGCTTTCGCCCAGCGTCGGGCCCCGGGACCCTCACAGATCGATCCGGCTCGAAGGATGAGGCAGAAAGCTGGGGTCGGGGGGCTCGGTCGTGCCTTTCTGCGATGTGGCATTCCTTTTTATTTTTCCTGGCCGAACCGTCGCGGGTGTTATGTGCCGTCTCAAGTGGCACCCGCTCCCTCTACAGTGGGCTCGCGCGCAGCAGAAATGTATGTCGAATCTCAATCGTCGAAGACTCCGCCACCCCGCACCAGGGTAATGAGAGAAGCGAGCGCCGACAGATAGGACACGACAGTAGAACTGGTGCGATCATGAAAATTTGCGACGTGGCTGACTCCGGATCCGCCCGACTTTGGGGAAGTTCGTAACTAGGGCTTCGAATTCCCGCCTTACTTTTCAAGCCCCGCTGATGCCAATTTCCGCCCTACTTTTCTGTTGCTGTTTCCGCTCAACTTCTGTGGATTCCCGCCCTATTCTATGTTGGGTGCAGAAATATCCACCCTGCTTGTTCGGCTTCTTATAGGTGGATTTCCGACGCAATTTTACATAGGAAAAAAAGCCAGAAGTAAGGCGGATCTCCGCCGCAATTTTACGCTTCTTATAGGTGGACTTCCGATGCAATTTTACGTTTCTTATAGGTGGATTTCCGACGCAATTTTACGTTTCTTATAGGTGGATATCCGACGCAAATTTTCGTTTCTTATAAGTGGATTTCCGACGCAAATTCACGTTTCTTATAGGTGGATTTCCGATGCAATTTTACGTTGGAGTCAGGGGTGGCATGTTCTGTTCGCAGCGTCGGCGCCCACGGATTCGCGGGTGTGGTGGGGGGGCGGCGGCTGCAGGCATGGGGAGGCGGGCCAGGCAGGGGGGGAGGGAGGGGCGGGGGGCCCGGGGGGCGGCAGGGGGGGGCGGCCGCTCCTCCTCCTCCTCCTCCTCCCCCTCCTCCTGCTCCGCCTCCTCCTCCTCCTCCTCGTCCTTCTCCTCCTCGTCCTTCTCCTCCTCCTCCTCCTCCTCCTCCTCCTCCTCCTCCTCCTCCTCCTGCGTCGTCGCGGTGGCCGTCGTGGAGGAATGTAGGGAGCAGGGGTCGCGACGCACATGACACAAGGGTACCCTTGATTTGGCAGGGTCGACCTACTAATCCGGGCCGAGTGTAGTTGCCGCGGTAATGTACATGTCATGTCGTAGTGGTCATGGCGGTTGTCGCGGTGGTGGTGGCCCTGGTGGTCATGGTGGTGGTCGCGTCCGGTCGTAGGTGGTTGCGTTGGTCGCCGTGCTGGCCGTCGCAGGCGCGGTCGCCGGCGACCCGCCTGGCCTAGCGCCAGAGCCTTTCAGGAAAAACCCAGCACTGCCCCTTTTGGAGGGTCCTGCTGATTTACCGCCAGAGGCCGCCCAGCAGCTCGGAACGCTCGCCGTCGTCCAAGTCCGCTTCGTATATGTGGACGAGGCTGGCTGCTTCCTCGCTGGGCCGGCCCCCCGTTGCGAACACGAGCGGGGCCAGCTCGCCCCCCTGGGTGGGGGCAGCGTTCTCGCTTCTTCTCCACCGCCTGGGCGGCCGCCAAGCCATCCTCGTCGGCGCGGGCACCCCTGCGCGGAGCGTAGGTTGAGCGCACACAGGTGAGGCGCCAGTCGAAGATCTGGCGGCTGGTGGCCCGGTCGCCAGTGGAGAGGTCGAGCACGGTTTGCCGGAGCACCCCTGTGCGGGGGCTGCGGCGATCCCAGACGGGTCCGGCCTGCTCCTCCCTCCCCTGCCTCCTTTCCCTCCCTGCTCCTCCCTTTCCCGCCCTCCCCTGACATCCGACGTCTCGATTTTTCGAGACGCGGGCCCCCGACCTCCCGACCACTTCCCTGGGACCGGTTCTTCATCCCGAGTCGTGTTTTGACGGTCCCGAGGCCCGGCGAGGGCCCCGAGAGGCCAAAAAACTAGGAAAAACCTCTGCCTCGTTTTTGTCGAGACGCCTGATGTCTGGGTCCACCCCTCCACCCCATGCGCGCTGAGCGCCGCGCCGCCCGGGGGCATGCCTCCCTGCTGGTTCCCCATCGCCCAGGCGGCGGCGGAGCCCTGCCCCCGCGATGGATCGAGAGGCAGAGGCGGGCGGCGGGCGGTGAGGTCCGTCTGCCGCCCTCGGGCTGGATTGGACGCCTGGGGAGGAGGAGGAGGAGGAGAAGGAGGAGGAGGAGGAGGAGGAGGAGGAAAGGGAGGAGGAGGAGGAGGAGGAGGAGGAGGAGGAGGAGGAGGAGGAGGAGGAGGAGGAGGAGGAAAGGGAGGAGGAGGAGGAGGAGGAGGAGGACCAGTGTAAACCGGAGACGCACAAGCGATGCTGCAATACACCCTCCCTCCAACCCTTCTCTTCGTAGGTCCCTACAAGAGCTTGTTATCATTCCACAGAGTTTCCCATTGGAAGAAAAACGCTTGAGACTCCTCAATCGCGCCGTCGCGCTAGTCTCGGGACTTCAACGACGTGAATCAACGTGACTGTTGCGTCCTGACAGGCCTCCACGGTGCCAGACCACGCTTCCTGGGACTTCAACACCGCGAGTGAACGTGAATGCTGCGTACTGACGACCCAACATCGTGCCAGAAGGCCGTTCCTGGGACCTCAGCCATGTGATTCCTTGAAACTGCTACAGACTTTCAAAACGAATGCGCGCGGCGCCAAAATAAAATGAATCACCCTCCATCCTTGAAGCTGCTGCGAAGGTTAAAACGAATGTGCGCGGCGCTAATGCGGGAGCTACGTTTGAGAAAAACGGCCCACCCTCCATCCTTGAAGCTATTGCAGAGTTTTAGAGAATTTGCGTGGCGCTGAAGTGAAAACACCATTTTGAAGACGACCCGCCCTCAATCCTTGAACCCGTTGCAAATTCCAAGCTTCATGATCATAAACGGTGCGGAATTCTCAAGCGAAGCACCCGGCCCGCCCTACCGACACGTCTGCGGGTGCGACAGGGAGGAGTTACTCATAAGAAAGAGGGTGGCGGAGGAGGAGGGGGAAGAGGAGGGGGAGGAGGAGAAGGAGGAGGGCGAGGATGAGGAGGAGGATGAGGAGGAGGAGGAGGATGAGGAGGAGGAGGAGGAGGAGGAGGAGAAGGTCGAGGAGGGCCGCGGCAGCGCCTCCACCAGGTCAGCTCAGGACGAGACTGGGCAGGGGAAAGAAAACGAGAATGAGGAGTAGAAAGAGCGGGAGAAGGAGGAGGAGGACAAGCAGGCGAACGAGGAGGAGGCGAATGAGGAGGAAAAGGAGGCGGAGGAGGATGGGGGAGCAGGAGCAGGAAAAGGATGACGAGGAGGCGAACGAGGAGGAGGCGAGGAGGAGGAGGAGGGAGGAGGAGGATGAGGAGGAGGAGGAGGAGGAGGAGTCGACGAGGAGAGCGAGGAGGAAGAGGAGGAGGAGGAGGAGGAGGAGGAGGAGGAGGAGAGGAGGAGGAGGAGGGGAGGAAGGGAGAGGGAGGAGGGAGGAGGGAGGAGGGAGAGGAGGAGGAGGAGGAGGAGGAGGAGGAGAGGAGAGGAGGAGGAGGAGGAGGAGGAGGAAGCCGAGCCTCAACGCCCGCCGTGCCTCTGGCCGCCCCGAGGAGGTCGGCGCGGCGGGCCCGGCGCGCGGAGGCTGCCCGACGGGCCTCCTGCGAGCCGGCTGGCGGCGGCGCGGGCTCTGGGCCTGGGGGGGGGGGGCGAGGGGGCAAGGAAGGCAGGGAGGGCGGGGGCAGGAGGAGGGAGGGAGGGGGAGGGAGGAGGGGGGAGGAGGCAGGACGGAGGAGCAGGAGGAGCGGCGGCGGCGTGCTCTGGCCGGGGGGTGGGGGGGGGCAAGGAAGGCAGGGAGGGCGGGGGCAGGAGGGACGGGAGGGAGGGGGGAGGGAGGAGGGAGGAGGAGGCAGGAGCAGGGAGGGGCGTCCACGAGGGAGAGGCAGGGAGGAGGGGGGGGGGCGGAGACGAGGGGGGGAGGGGGAGGACAAGCCAGGTGCGCCCGCGCCATGTCCGACATCCCCTCCCTTCCTCCCATCCCTTCCCGTTGCGCGCTGTTTTTCTCCATCCGCGGACGCGTGTCATAGCCGACCTGGAACTCTAACAGGAATGCCCCATCCTGTTATGCCCAGTCGGAAAAAAGGATTTGCGCACATAGGAAGAGATGGTGGCGGGTGAGCAGCAGGATGAGCTCGAGAACCAAGAAAACGATGAAGGAGATCACCGAGCAGTCGGAAAAAAGGATTTGCGTACATAGGACGAGAAGGTGGTGGCTGGGCAGCAGGACGAGCAGGAAGACAAGGAGGACGACGAAGGAAGACAACGAGGACGAACAGCAGCAGCACCAGCAGGAGCTGGAATGGAAGGAGTGGGAGGAGCACGAGGACCAGGGGAAGGCGGCGCAGGGGAAATGAGCGGCCCGTGCTGGGGCGAAAGCGCCTTTCTGAACGACGGGAGCAAAGCCCCGATCCGAACATGAGGCCCGCGCTGTAGCGGGAACACTGTTTCGAAACATCGACAACAATCGGATTGTAAGAGCGCGTGCGAATAAAGAACTGTTGAAATACTGTGTGTGCGTGTGCAAACAACCATGCGTGGAGAGGACCAGAAGCCTTCCAGACTCAGTCGGGGGAGAGATGAGAGCAGTATTCATGATGTGTGTTTGTAGAGGAGGGGGAGGTTTGTTTGGATTCATCCGCTGAGCAATGCTGGAGAGGAGGAGGAGGATGACTAGGAATAGTCCCAAGACGATGTCTTGGTTGAAGGGGAAGATGAGGAGGAGGGGAAGGATGATGGGGGGAGAAGGAGGGGGGGAGGAGGGCGTTAGGGCGTTAGGGTCTTAGACAAACGTCTCTCGCATCCAGCGACCCGATGACTCAGTAATCAGGATCTTCAGGCTCATCACTCCTGCGTGCCAGGAGCCGAGCCTCTTCTTCGAGACGCCTCTCAGCTCGGCAAAACATAACCGCCTCACGGGGGTCACTAAAGCCGTGCAACTGAGCAACTCGATACAAAAGGGGGGGAGGAGGAGGAGAAGGAGGGTGGAGGAGGAGAAGGACTACCACTGGGGTTCCTGCCATCGAAGGTCTCGCTCGAAAGCTGCCAGGGTGAGCAGGCGGATCTCGAATGCCTGCCCAGTACCTCCTCTGACCATTGATGCTGCCTTCATTGCCTGGGATGGGATGGCAGATCTCAAGAGCCAGCCAGCCCAGCGCAAGCAGCTGCAAAATAGCATCTGGTCTGATGTTTAAATTGTGGCTGCAGGCGGAGAGGGAGGAGAAGGAGGAATGACAATCACCTCTTCGCACTGATGCCCCTGTGTTGCCGTGGCCGTTGTAACACACATTTGCCCATGTTTGCCAGCGCGTTCACACTTCTTGGCCTGATTCCTGATATACCTGGATAGATTTGCAGAAGCTTTAGCTCCGTTGGCCACAAAACGAACGAGTCCAGTACCCGAGCGAGGAGAGTCTGATCTGATAGGGATGTGTGCTGTGCCACTGCACTTGTAAACACTCTGTTTGGGGCCGGCTTGTGTGCAGGAGGCCCTCGGCATTGCTTAAGCCAACGCTCGACGGCGATTGCACCTGCCGTGCTGGAAATCTGCTGCCCGCATGCGTGGCCTGCCTGCCGCGAGCCTGTACTCCAAAGTGCGTGCGGCGACATTGTCACTGCCTGGCAGGTGCGCGAGGCTCCCCCCCTGGCCTCTGCGCTCGGCTGCCCGCCACCGGCTGTCACGACATGGCCCAGCGCGAAGGCCTGACTCGGCACGGGCGATGGGAAAAGGATGATGAGTGAGGAGGAGGAGAGGAAGGATGGCAGGATGGAAGGGAGAAGGGACGGTCGAGAGGATGGAGGAGGAGGAGGAGAAAGAGGAGGAGGAGGAGGACGAGGAGGAGGAGGAGGAGGAGCAATACTACTAAAAAAGTTTGAGTGGGGTTTCGGGACAAGTCGGTGGCTTGCTGGATTTCCCCAACAAGCATGTCCAATGGTTTCGGGGCACTCGGGGGATGAGGTTATTCGGCATGTTTCCCGAGGAGGCTGCGGAGGGGGGAGAAGAAGACTCCCGCCTGCCCTTTTCGGGCGTGCAGTGTCTAGCGCGCTTCCTCTTCCAACCCCTCTTTTTCCCCGGGGTGGGTTTGCCCCTCCCCCTCTCCCACGTCGCAAGACTCCCCTCATCGCCCAACCGAAGCACGAGGGGGACCAAGCCTAGCAAATGTGGCTGCCGTGCTGGGCTGCCGTGCTCCTTCTACTCGCGACCAGTCTGCAGTGCTCCGTTGTTGGTGGCTGGACTGCTGGGGTGTCGTTGGGGACCTCTTGGGGGCCCTGGGGAGCCTCTTGGAGGCCTCTTGGGGCCTCCTGTACAACGTGGGCATCTAGGGGCCTCTTGGAGGCCGCTTGGGGGCCTCCTGGGGGGGGTCCCTGGTGGCCGCCCGCCTTTGGGCCTGCCTGAGCCTGGGAGGAGCTGGCCCCTGCTGGCCTTGCAGCAGCCTGGGCGGATCTGGGGGCGTCCTGAGGAGGAGGAGGAGGAGGAGGAGGAGGAGGAGGAGGAGGAGGAGGAGGAGGAGGAGGAGGAGGAGGAGGAGGCACCCCTTGGGGCTGTGTCGCGGGCCTCCCGACGCCCTCCGGGGCCCGATCGGGGCGGGGCCGCCCGGGCCGTCTTGGGAAGGCTCGGGTGGCCTCTCTGGCCGCCCGCGGGCGGTCGGACGGCCAAGTGCCTCCAGAAGGCCGGGCAGCATCAAGAACCGACCGGCAATCATCGGCTGCGTGCCTCCTGACTGCGGCTCTCGAGGTGGCCCTCTTCGGGGCCTCGTCGGCCGCCTGGGGGGCCTCTGGGGCCCTTCTTGGGGGCCTCTTGGGTCGTCCTGAGGTGGTCTTGGAGCGATCTTGGGCTGTCTTGGAAATCGTCTCGCTGGCTTGCTGGGCCCGTCTCGGATGCGTGACACGCCGGTTTTGTGCCCTGGGGGCGACTGGAGAAGTTCACCCACTCTTTCAAGGAACGTCACTCCCCCTGGGCCTGGACGGGGGGAAACGGGGATTGGTCAGAGCGTCCAAGTTTAGCCCAGATGGCGCCAAGAGGACCCCAGAGAGCTGAAGATGACCTCCCATATGGCTTGAGATATCCAACATGGCTGAAGATGGCCTCCATGATGCCTCCGAGAGGTCCCAAGACTGCTACAAGACGGCCTCAAATGGCCACAGGGTCTTCCAAGAACGCACCCGAGAGGTCAACCTCGTTCCAGAGCCAGAAGAAAGCAATGTGTGTTGCCTTCCAGCCTTTTCGGTTCCAACGGATCATGGAACCCTCAACACAGCTCCAAGACGGCCCAAGAGGAGCCAAAGAGTGCTCTAAGAGCGTCCAAAAGCGCCCAAAGACAGCTCCAAGAGGCAACTTTGGGGGCTCCTGAGGGGCACGGCTAATACAGGACCCCCCCTTCGATCAAAGCAAAACTCATTGAACAATCGTTGTTTGTTGAACGATGCCTCCATCTCGGGAGCATCCTTAGGAGGCGTTTACCCAACACGGCTCCAATGTGGCCTCAGGCAGCTCAACACCACTTTGCCTACAAGAGGCCTCAAGACCCCCCCAGGACGGCTCCGAGTGGTCACGGTGCCTCACAAGGATGCTCACAAGATGCCCAAGCCCTTCCAAAACCTATGTCCAACTATGTGTTTTGCATTCTCGCCCCTTCGCTCCTGATGGGCCTCGAAGACTTCGAAATGGCCCCGAGACTGCCCCAGCGAGCCCCAAGAGGAGCTCAGGAGGGCCCCAAGAGGCTCCAAGAGTCGTCCGATAGGCTCCAAGAAATGGTAAAGCCCGCAACAGCCCAGCACGGGTCCAAAACCACCCCCCCGGGCCCCGAACCTCCTCCAGGTGTTCCTCCTGCGCTCTTCCTCCTCTCCTCCACCCCGCCTTGACGACGACGACGACGACGACGACGACGGCGACAGCAGCGTCGTCATGGAGGCGCTGTCTCTCCAAAGCGAGAACCCAACACGGCGGGAAGGCTGGGAACAACCACACATCACACACCAGCAACAAACATAGCACAGCAGACGCAGCAAACATTGTTGGTAATAATCACAACGACGACGATGATACTGACGATGACGATCTCGATGACGATGACGACGACAATGAAGACGACGATGACGATGGCGATGGCGATGGCGATGACGGTCAGTGTGAGGATGATGATCACGACGATGACGACGACAACGACGACGACGACGACGACTGGGGGCCCATTTGTACCAAATAAAGTCGTCATCATGTGTGTGCCACGGCCAAGGTCCGTATGCGTCTTCCCCCCGAACACACAGGGAATGCATGGGTACCGTGGTACTGCTGCAGAAAATACAACATCCCAGCAAACCTAGGATACAACAGTTGGGTGTTGTTTGTGCTGTGCTCTAAGATTTAATTGTTTTTTGCTGCTTGTTGGAGTGCTTTGGTGTTTTTAATGGTTGTTGTTGATTTCGTTGATGTTGTAAGATCGCGCATTTGTTTGTTGCTCGTTGGTGTGGCTCGATGGTTTTATTGCATTGTGCTGTTTCTTTCTATATGGTTGGCTGTGTGTTGATGAATTTCTGTGATGATGATGGTGATGATGGAGGTGATGATGATGGTGATGAAAGCGCACATGGCGCAACATGTCATTCCAACTTTGGGCCCAACGCAGATACTGCGAAACAGCCCTCGGTGAACTCGTGCTTCAAATGGCATGAAGCCCGAGGAAGAGGAGGGTCCGTCTGTGCGGCCTTTCGGCATTGGGAACCTCCACCAGTGTCCGCCATACCATTCAAGCCTCGCGCCACTAGAAACCTCGACTCCGTCCTCGAACCTCCCAGTGGCGCTCCGCGGGAGGTCTTAGAAGGTTCCCGATGGCTCCGCCGCGAAGCTTCTCTCGTTGGCGCAATGCCAAGACTCCCAGGTGGCGTTCCGCGGCACCCGTCCAACTGGCACTGGGAACCTCCACCTTGCCAATGGCTCCACTTTCTGCTTGCATAGCCACCTGCTGCCCTCGGAACATGATTAACTAACCTGACGGCCATCAGAACCGCTCGTCGCCGTCGACGCCGCCGTCAGGAGAGTGACGGAGGGGGAGGAGGAGGAGGAGGAGGAGGAGGAGGAGGAGGAGGAGGAGGAGGAGGAGGAGGAGGAGGAGGAGGAGGAGGAGGAGGAGGGAGGAGAGGAGGAGGAGGAGGAGGAGGAGGAGGAGGAGGAGGAGGAGAGGAGGAGGATGAGGAGGAGGAGGAGGAGGAGGGGGGGATGGGGGAGGGACGAGGAGGAGGAGGAGGACGAGGTGGAGGAGGAGGAGGAGGAGGAGGAGGAGGAGGAGGAGGAGGAGGTGGAGGACGAGGAGGAGGCTTTCAGTTCATGGTCGAGCAGCGCCGGTCTTGGACCAGGACGCTGGAGAGCTCGCAGCGGAGCCGCGGCCCTGGGGACGCCCAGTCAGGAGGGCTCGGCACTGCGGGAGCTGACCCGAACCTCTCGCACCTCGCTGGCCGGAGACGGCGGCGGGGCGCAGTCGGCCACGAACCTCGCGAGCAGGACCTCGACCTCGCTCTTCGGGATCTTGGTGATGCTCTCCTGGAGGGCAGGCAAGAACCACCCCCACAGGAAGCACCCCGACAAGCGCAGCCGCCTTGCAAGCGCTCCCACCGGAAGGACTCGAGCGGCGCAGGGCCGTGTGGTACACGCCCGGGGCCGTGCAGTGAGCGCCAGTTGTCGTCCTCCTCCTCCTCCCTCCTCCCTCCTCCTCCTCCTCCTCCTCCTCCTCCTCCTCCTCCTCCTCCTCCTCCTCCTCCTCCTCCTCCGCACGAGGGCGTACTGGTTTCGAGAAGAAGAAAAAGAAAACGCCCCAAACATAAACTTTTGGCGCTCCTCGCGGATTTCTTGGATCCGCGCTGGACCCCCCGCCCTGGCGCGCGCAGCGCGCCGGGGGCGGCGCCAGAGGCGCCGCCGGGGGGCACCCGCGCGGATCCAAGAAATCCGCGCGGAGCGCCAACAGTTTATGCTCGTGGCGTGTTTTCCCTTTCCTCTTCGATTGTCCCCCCCCTTGATCTCCATGTGCCACTGGAAGTCGTAGGCGGCCATGCCCCGCTCGAAGACGCGCGGGTCGGCCAGCAGCTCGCCCAGGGCCCGCCAGTCCTCGGAGCCGCTCGGCGGCGCCCCCCGGCCGGAGGGTCGCCAGCTGCTCCGCGAGGCGCGCCTCGCGCGCACCGCCCCGCCCGCGGCCACCAGCTCCTCGAGGAGGCGAACGAGGAGGAGGCGAACGAGGAGGAGGAGGAGGAGGAGGAGGAGGAGGAGGAGGAGGAGGACGAGGAGGAGGAGGAGGAGGAGGAGGAGGAGGAGGAGGAGGAGGAGGAGGAGGAACTCCTCGAAGCGCCGCGCGAAGGCGACCCGGACGAGGAACTCCAGCAGGTGCCCGTGCACCACGACCTCACCCAGAGCCCCTCGCGCTGCGAACAAAAATCACGGCGGGAGATCTTTCGCTGTCCTCGGCCTCCAGGGGCCCTTCCCGGGCCTCGGGGCCGTCGAGAAACGACTCAGGATGAAAAACTGGTCCCGGGGAAAGGGTCCAGATCTCTGGGGGTCGACGTTGTGAAAAAATCACGACGTCGGGGGTCTGGGTAGTGGGCGGCGCGCACATGGGTAAAGGGGGAGGGGGGACTGCTTCTTAGACGGAGGCTGCTTCTTAGAGGGCGCCGGCCTTGCATCTACAGATCAGGCCCGCGCCTTCTGAGGAGCAGCCTCCTTCTAAGAAGCCTTCACCCCTCCCCCTACCCTCCTCTGCGCGTGGACGACTAGGGCAACCACGCGTCAACCCTGCCCCTGCAGGCCAGACTTCAGAAACGTCGGCGGGGGTCCAGAAGCCGAAGGGCGTCTGCAGCCAGGTGATCCCCGGTGGGGGTGTCCGATGCCCCAGCGCCGAGGGGGCCCGTAGGGGTGGGGGTCGCAAGCGGTCGCAGGGACCTGGTCGCAGTCGAAGATGAGGTGCAGCAGCCCGTCCCGCAGGCTCGTGGCCACGGCCCTGCGCTCCTGTGGGGCAGCGACGCGGGGGGAGGAGGAGGAGGAGGGGGAGGAGGAGGAGGAGGAGGGAGGAGGAGAGGAGGAGGAGGAGGAGGAGGAGGAGGAGTGAGGAGGAGGAGGAGGAGAGGAGGAGGAGGAGGAGAAGGAGGAGGAGGAGGAGGAGGGAGGAGGGAGAGGAGGAGGAGGAGGAGGAGGAGGAGAGAGAGGAGGAGGAGGAGGAGGGGAGGAGGAGGAGGAGGAGGAGGGGAGGAGGAGGAGGACGGAGGAGGAGCCACGCGGGGGGAATCGGCGAATGCGCCGCCGACAGAGCGGCGATAGGTCCCCGCTAGCGAATCCGCACGCTCCCGGGCAGGGGGTGGGCGCGACGGGGCCGGGAGTTGCGTGGAAGGTGGAAGGGATGGTGGGTGGGTGGGTGGGGGTGGTGGGGGGGAAGGGCGAGGAGGAGGAGGAGGAGGAGGAGGAGGAGGAGGAGGAGGAGGAGGAGGAGGAGGAGGAGGAGGAGGAGGAGGAGGAGGAGGAGCGGTGAGAAGCTGCGATCACCCCCCATCCGTGATGAACGGGCGGTTGGGGGTCGATGCGGACCCCCCCTGAGCCCATTCCCGCCGTCCCCAATGGTTTCCCCACCATAATTCGGGGCTCTGGCGGCAGTTCGGGACGATCGGGGCGCCCCTGAAACGCTCTCGGCGAGGCGCAGCCGCTGGAACGCACCACGAGGCTGGAAAATCCGCCCAGGGCCGGCGAACACGCCCGAAGGCCCCCAACCTCAAACTCCCCTCTTGACGGTGCCCCGGTGCTCCATGTCCGACAGGAAGGGCGCCAGCTTCGACAGCTGCCTGCGCGCGTACGCCGACATGCTCGTGTCGTATAGGTAGCGGTCGGGGTGCAGCCCGAGCACCAGCTCCCGGGTGCCCGTGTCGAAGCGCACGAGCGCGGGCTGCCTCGACCGGTGCTCCCGGATGAGCCACGTCTTGGCCCGCTCCAGGGGCCCGCCCCGGAGAGCGGGCACCGCGTCCGCCACGCCCTGGAGCAGGTTGTTGGACCTGCTCCTCGCCAGCTCCCAGGCATCCGCAGCTCTCTGGCCGGGGCTCTGATGTCAGAGGAAGAACCAAAGGCACAGCCACAAGCTTTCGGAGCTCCCTGCGGATTTCTCGGGTCTGCGCCGGGCCCCCCCCCTGGCGGCGCCGCCGTCGCCGCCCCCGGCGCGGTCCGCGCGCCTGGGAGGGGGGGGGGGGGCCAGCGCCGATCCAGGAAGTCCGCGAGGAGCTCCCAAGGTCTATGCTCGTGCCGCTGCCTCTCCTTCGAGATGCTTGGCCTCGAAGTTCCGCTGCCGCTCGAAGAGCTCGGAGAGCGCCTTCTGCAGCTGCGCGAGGACGCCCAGCACGACCCAGAGCGCGAACAGCGCGCAGAGGGCCACGGCGGCGAGGAGCACGGCGAAGAAAGCGGCCCTCTGCTCCTCGGGCCCCGACGCCCAGCAGAAGACGAGCAACCCGACGGTCGGCGGCGCGCTGGGGGGGCGAATAGCGCCCGGGAATCTCGGGGTTCGATGTGGGGGGCCTTTGGGCGTTTTCGGAAGCTATCGGGGCGGATCTTCCAGCCTCGTGGTGCGCTCCAGCGGCTGCGCCTCGCCGAGGGCGTTTCAGGGGCGCCCGCACCGTCCCTAACTGAAGGGGCCCTGGGACACACAAATAAATACACACAAACAAAAAGATTCCCCATATTTTCCTATATGTTCTGGGTTTTTGTCTTCCCCCCCCCACTTCCCATATTTTCCCATATTTTTTGGGGAATCGACGATTAATTTGTGTCTGTGTGTTTCTTTTCCTCCTGACTAACGGCCGCCCGAGAGCAGAGTTAGGAAAAGCCACCAGGCGTCTGATGGGGGCTTCTCGGAAGCTCCCCCCTGGCCTTCCGAGAGGCCCCCTGTGGCCCCCGAGGGGCGGAGGAGGAGGAGGAGGAGGAGGAGGAGGAGGAGGAGGAGGAGGAGGAGGATGGGAGGAGGAGGAGGAGGAGTAGGAGGAGGAGGAGGAGGAGGAGAGGGAGGGAGGAGGAGGGGAGGAGGAGGAGGAGGAGAGGAGGAGGAGGAGGAGGAGGAGGATAAGGAGGAAGGAGAAGAAGGAGGAAGGAGAGGAGGAGGCTTCTCAGGGGCCAGAAGCCTTCTGACTTTCTGATAGGTGCCGCTCCTCTGCCCCCCCCCCCCCCCCTGGGCGCGCCGCCGAGCTAAACAGGCACACGCAGTGAAACCTGTCGAGGGACGCAAAGCGGCATATACAGTAGGAGCTCGACCACAAGAAACCTGCCACAAGAAACCCAACCCTGAGACCCCAGGACGTTCTTTGATGTTTGGTGTGGGGACGTCACGCTTTCCATATATAGAATTTTTATATATATATATATATACATATATATATATAGATATAGAAACATCGAAACACAAGACACCCAGGGCACCCTGGAGACAAGCAGGGTGTTTCTTGGCATGGGTTTCCAGTGTGTAATTGCACCTCGAGGCGCGCGTGGATTGCCTGGAGCGGCGCCGGACTCCCTCCCTGGCGCGCGCAGCGCGCCAGGGGCGGCGCTGCGGGCACTGCCCCCAGAGGGGCCCAGCGCCGATCCGAGAAATCCGCGCGGAGCTGCGGACACTTTTGTCTTTCGGCCGCGTCTTGCTCCTCGAACCTGGCCAGGAGCACCCACTGCTCCGACCCCCCGACCTCGCTGAGCAGCAGCGCCAGGGCGAACGACGCGGCGCACAGCAGGACGGGGAGCAGGGCGCCCTCGCCTTCTGCGATCAGCAGGACCTGCACGCTGCTCACCAGCAGCAGGAAGAGGCAGAGGCCGTTCTGCTCGACGCGGTCCAAGAACTCTCCCATGCGACTGTCGAACGGCTTCGTCCACATGTGGATGAGCAGGAAGACGACGCCAATAACCTGGTAGAGAACGAACTCTGCCGACCGGCTCAGGTTCGGCCAGGCTCCGACCAGAAGGAGGAGGCCGCGCCGCAGCCATACGACCCCCTCCCAGTAGGCGAAGCTGCTGCTGTAGCCGTCCAGGACGAGGCAATACCGGGCCTGGAACTGAAAGTCGTTGGCGAGCGCCGGGATGACCGTCCGCGTTCTCCGGGACGGCCCTGCGTGCCCGTCGCCGGCGCCGCCGACGCGGCGCGAGGTGGCCCTCGCGCGCAGGAAGGCCGAGAGCAGGCCGGGCAGCAGCATGCCGTAGACGAAGGCGCCGGCAGCGGCCGCGCCGAACCACAGCGTGTGCTCGCCGCTCCAGCAGACCACCTCGGGTGCGGCCAGCAGCCGCCATTCGCCCCCGGAGCGATCCAGCTTGTCGCACCGCGGCGGAGGAGGAGGAGGCGGAGGAGGAGGCGGAGGAGCAGGAGGAGGAGGAGGAGGAGGAGGAGGCGGAGGAGGAGGGGGAGGAGGCGGAGGAGGAGGAGGAAGAGGAGGAGGAGCACCGCATCGCCACCACCAGCTCGCTGATAACTGTCGGCGCCAGGAGGTAGCAGCCGGCCACGAAGAGCGGGGTCGTGTCCCTCCACAGCACCCGGATCCGGTCCCGCGGCGCGCAGAGCGCGGCCCTCCGCTGCCAGATGTAGCCGAGGCGCTCCGCCCTCATGAAGTCATCCTTGGAGGCCTTGATTATGCTCTTGTACTTCGCCCTCGGCACAAAGTTGCTCAGCACCTTCTGCTGAGTAAGCATGCCGATGGTGTAGCACTGGAAGAAGAAGAGCACGACCGCGAAGAGGCTGGCGACGAACAGCGGGATCGCCGACAGCCAGAACAGCACCTGGACCCGTATCCTCCACCAGGGGCCCTTGTCGCTGAACGCGCTGCCCAGCCAACACTCGAGGCCCAAGAGGTGGCCCGGCAGGGCACCGTTGGAGCGGAAGAGCACGCTCAGGACGGACACCGCGCGCCTGGCCAGGTCCTGTCGCCAGGGCTGGAGCCAAGCAGTGTGTGTTTCGGTTTCGTGGTGCCTTCGCTTTCCCTCGTCCTGCCTCCGGTCCTCCTCTCTGGGGCGCAGCGAAGGCAAACCGAAAACGGCCCACGAGATCGCCCAAACACCGTTTGGTTCGAGCCCTGGTCCTCGCCGAGGACGGCCCGCACCTCCCACGCCTGCACGCGCGACGCCACGCTGGCGGCCAGGAGGAACGCCGAGAGGGACCGCAGCAGCGCGACGTGCAGGTTGCCCCAGAAGACGGCGTCGAGGCTCAGGACCCCCACCGCCCAGACGACGACGAACACGACGAGGACGCCCGCCAGCAGCGGGACGGCGGACTCCCACGCGTCCGTGCACCGGCCGCAGAGGGCGTGCGGCTGGTCATGGGGCCTCCACCAGCCCGCGGCGCAGCTCTGGCACAGGTAGCCGTCCATCCCCTGGCGGCAGCGGTTCCAGTCGAGCTCGAAGTCCCAGCCCAGACAGGCTGGGGGGATGCCGCACGCCACGACGCGGCCGCCCCGCATCCTCAGAGGAAGGAGGGAGCTGCGCAAGCCGAAACTGTCGGCCCTGGACCCCCCCCCCTCCCTGGCGCGCGGCGCGCGCCATGGGCGGCGCTGGGGGCGCCGCCAAGGGGCCCCAATCCCCAGCTGGGAAATTCGCGCGGCGCAGTCAACCCGTTTTTGATAAGCACGCGCAATAAGGACGCAAGGGCCGTGGAAGGCCATGTCTACACTTTGCGGCCGGGGCGCGGCCAGCGAAAGCGGTCAAGGCTGGGCCGAAGTGGAAGGATGCAAGGGTCACCTTAGAAAGCCGCTCATCCTTACTGTGCGGGTTGACTGTGGTCCCAACGTTTGTGCTTGTGCAGTGTTTTCGCTTTCGAATCCTGAAGCTCTGCCCCTCTGGCGCGGCGAACGACCGGGGATGCTGCGGGGTGTCGCAGTCCGCCCCCGCCGGGCACCTCGCGCACGCCGTGCTGCCGGCAGCCTCGGCGACCGCCCCCTGAGGGCAAGGGTACTCCTGTCGGCGGCTCCGAGGAAGGGCCCTCAGCTTGGCTGCCCAGAGACGCAACGCGCAACACGTAGCGTGCTGACGCGGAGCTCAACACGTGGACTGAACATGGAGGCCTGGCGCGATGAAGTCGCCAAGACGTTAACCAACACGTGCCGAGCCAACACGCAACGTGATAACACATACGCTTTGAACACGGTACGGGTTGCGTTTCAGCACGTGCGTATCCGGACAGCTGAGGCCGCGAGGGGTGGCGCCCCAACTGAGCAGGGATCGACCGTCCCAGCATTCGTATAACTCTACCGAGAAGTATCCTTAGAACCAGAGAATGTTCTTATCACGAAGCAAGTTTCTGAGGACATATAACATACTGCCTCAATCAGAAATGATGTATCAGCTTGTCGTTCAAACCGGAAGCGGCTGTTAGACTACTTGGTGGTCCTATAAGGGGCGAAGGGCCTCAAACGATGTACATTCAACATGAGGTCCCTTCCTGTCCTTACGACCCCATCTCGGCAAATGCACGTGAAACGTACCCCCGCCCTGAACTAACGGATGGTACTCAAATGTTAGTCGGCACGGGCCCCAAACAGTTTGCCTATAACAACAGATGTTGTAAACCTTATGATGTGCAATACACGTGGTGCAATCTATCAAGCTATGTGGTAACATGAATGTGGTGCCACGTGTGTTGCGCAATCATTTCTATGCGGTGCAACCTATGTGGCGTAATTCATTTCTGTTCGCAATGAATTGTCCACTCCACTGCTCGCGCAAACATCCCACCCACCCACCCGCAACTTGGTTTGCAACATCTCTTGAGACCGTGACGGTGGGTACCAAATGGCACTTGGCAACGACAGCGACGCCGACGACGACAGCGACAACGACGACGACGACGACGGCTACAACGACTACGACGACGCCGACGACGTCTCCAACGACTTCGACGACGCCGACAACGACGACGACAACGACGACGACACCGACGACGACGACGCCGACGCCGACGACGACGACGATGACAACGACGACGACGACGCCGACGACGACGACAACGACGACACCGACGACGACGACGACGACGTCAACGACGCCGACGACGACGACGACGACGACGACGCCGACATCGACGACGACGACGCCGACGCCGGCGACGACGACGAAGACGACGACGACGTCGCCAACGAAGGCGACGACGAGGGAGGAGGGAGGACGACGACGGCGACAACGACGACAACGACGACAACAACGAGGGAGGAGGGAGGACGGCGACGACGCGAACGACGAAGAAGGAGGAAAGACGGCGACGCTGACGACGACAACGACCAGGGAGGAGGGAAGACGACGACGACAACGACGACGACGACGACGACGGCGACGGCGACGAAATAGGAGGGACGACGACGAGACGCTGACGACGGACGACGACGACGACGAGGGAGGAGGAGGAAGGACGACCACGGCGACAACGACGACGAAAACTACCACGACGCCAAAGAGGACGACGACGACGAACACGATGAAAGACAGAAAACGACGGAGGCGACGACGACGACGACGACGCGGGAGGAGGGAAGACGGCGACGACGACGACGACGCAAGAGCGCGCGCGCACGCTTTTGTTGAAAATCCGTGTTGCGAAACCTTGCATATTTGTAGGTTTTTTGGACACACGATGTTGAAATCCTTCCGAAGCCGATGGGTTTTGAAGGATTTCGACATACGCGCGCGACGACGCGCGCGTCTGCACTTCGTCCCATTTTTTGCAGAGGGTTCCCGCGACGGCACACGCGCAAGGGCGTTCGACAGATTTCGACAAGCGCGTGCGAAGCCCGTTTGGTGACATTTTGTTTTCTTAAGATTTCGCAAGAGCTCGCGCGTAAGCTTTTTTAGCAAATCAGTGCTGCGAAACAATATTTGTTGTGTATGTTTTTTTGTTGGAAACTCGATTGCGAGTTCCTTCCGACACCAAGGTTTTTGGAGGATTTCGGCATGCGCGCGCGACGGCGCGCGCGCGTGTACTTCGCCACATTTTGTGCAAGGGATTCGCGAAAAGTGCTATGTTAGAACAAAGGATGTCCCTGCGCATCGTTTGTTCACAAAGGAACCTCAGGGGGGTCGATACCGGCCCCCCTGGGATAGCGTAAATTCATATTTCGGATGGACATGTGGTCAGAATCATTTATGATTTACATACCCGACAAGGAGGCCGATAACGCCGGGGGTGGTGGTGTAGTGTCTGTTCTCTCTTCAGAAAGGAAAATGTACGTCTTGTTATGTGTGGTGCAATCAGTGTGGCGCGCAATCCATAGGGTGCCGCTTATGCTGTGCAACATGTGTTGCGAAACCGATGCGGAACATCATACATGGTGCAACGTACGTGGTGTACCTCATTATGAAGAACACTTGAAACTGTCAGCTTCACTGCTCGCGCAATCATCCCACCCGCCCACCCGCAACTTGGTTTGCATAACCCATGCGGCGGCGACTTCGATGAGTGCTTGGTGTTGGCTGGTGCATCTCTGCGGCCGCGCTAACCCGCGCATGCTCGCGTGCACAGCGGCCATATAGTTTGGCGCGACCGACGCGGCCGATGTGGCGCTGATCGCTGAACACTTCCCAGCGGGCACTCCAAGGCGAGTCGGTGATTTGGGCGGGCGCGGTATCATGGCGACGTCGACAATGGTAGACACGATGATGATCATAGCGGCTTAGCGATGATGGTGACGATGGCGACGGCAAGGCCAATGACGGCGCCGACGCTGATCACGCCGACGACGATGGCGGCGTCCTCGCGTCAGTGATGAAAGTTTTCGGAAGGTTCGGCGCGCGCACGTAGCCGGTAGCCGACGCGCGCAAGTGGCTCGCATGGCGTTATTTGACAGGGATCGCCCCCCCCGCCCCCCATCACGCGCGCAATGGCGTTCGAATGGTTTCGACATGCGGCGTGAGTGGCCCGCCAGGTCGATGTTGATGACACCACTGGAAAACAAAACCAAGGATTTCTACGTACTGCGCAAGGGCGCGCGCAAACTTTCTTTGAAAGCTGATGGTGCAACACCAAATGTTTTAGATGCTTTCGGGGCGATGGGTTTTTAAATCCTCAGCACGCCTCAGGTTTTTGAAAGTTTTCGGCATGCGCGCGCTACGGCGCGCGCGTGTGCGTACACTTCGTCGCATATTTTGCAAGGGATTCTGGGGACAGCACCCACGCGAGGGCGTTCGAATGATTTCGACATGCTCGCGCGGAGAGGCACGT